GGGAAAAGGGTCGCAGCAGGACTGTAAAAACTACCGTGGCATCAGCCTTCTTAGCATTGTGGGAAAACTGTATGCTAAGGTACTGATTGAAAGGGTCATGAAAGAAACTGATGGAAAAATTTGGGATGTGCAAGCAGGATTTAGAAAGGGAATGGGATGTACAGATCAAGTCTTTTCCATGCGCATGATCGCGGAGAAGTTTTTGGCCAAAAACCAAAAGGTTTTTTGTGCGTTCATGGACTTGGAAAAGGCCTATGACAGAGTGAATAGGGATGTGCTATGACAAACACTGAACTCATTTGGGTTGAGCGCTGGCTTGATACGGGCATTGGAGTCCCTTTATAGGGACTCTAGTGCTTGTGTTAGGATCAACGGGGTCTACTCGGACTGGTTTGACATCCATAAAGGTGTCAGACAGGGCTGTGTAGCTTCCCCGTGGCTGTTCAACCTATTTATGGACAGCTGTTTGCAAAATTTGAAAGCTGAAGAATGCGGATTAAGAATGGGTGAGTTAACCGTCAAATGCCTTTTGTACGCCGATGATCAAGTTATACTTGCGTCGTCGGCGGCCGAGTTGCAAATGATGGTTACATTAATGAACAGATCATTAAAAGAAAGGGGTATGAAAGTGAACGCAAGTAAGACGAAGGTTATGGTTTTTGAAAGAGAAGAAAGTAAAACGATTTGTGAAATAAGAATAGAAGGGGAGTTGATCGAGCAAGTAGATGAGTTTGTATATTTGGGCTGCGTATTTAGCAGGGATGGGAGATATGATAAGGATATAGAACGACGAGTGAATGCGGGAAATAGAGTAAATGGGGCCCTGCACTCTATTGTGAAGAGTCAAAATGTGTCGAAAAAGGCACGTATGGCAATTCACAATGCTGTGTTGGTCCCTACTTTAACATATGGTAGTGGAATCTTAATGACAGGGTAAGAAATTGTGTAATAAGAGAAGAGTGTGGTTTGCAAGATGATGTTGTGACCAGGATTAAGAAAGGAATGCTTCGGTGGTTTGGTCATGTGGAAAGAATGAATGAGGAAAGAGTGACAAAGAAAATTTATGTTGCAGAAGTGAATGGCAGAGTCGGAAAGGGACGTCCTAGGCGAAAATTTATCGACCAAATTGGCGATTTATTGAAAACGGGCCAAATTAGGAGTACCCTTAACCGACGAGCATGTATGCGGAGGTGTATGGATGTGAAGGAGGCGAGAGAGGTGTGTCAGGATCGTGCCAAATGGAAGTCTGTAGTCTCTGCCTACCCCTCTGGGTGACAGGCGTGAGTGTTTATGTTATGTTATGTTATGTAGTCAATTTTCGTTTGTTTAGTATAGCACTATCCGCCGATATTCGCCAAATGTTTCTTTGCATAGGGGTCCGTGAATGCGACCGTAGATTCCAACGCATTTTATATCGTTTCAACCCAAAGGAACCTCTAATGGTGTTTGAATTTAACCGCGTTTGTTTTGGTTTAAAGTCGAGCCCATTTCGTGCGTTACGCACGGTGAGACAGCTCGCTCACGATGAAGGTCCCTCTTATCCTAAAGCTAAGAGGGCAATTGAGAGCGGATTATATATGGATGATTTTGTGTATTCGGTCGATAGCGTGGAGGAGGCCACCCTAACCACCGCCGAGGTTATAAGGCTCATGAAATCGGGTCAATTCGATCTTGTGAAGTGGACTAGTAATTCGCGTACGGTTTTAGATACAATCCCACTATCACACCGTCTTTCGGCGATAAAGAAATTCGACGATTCCGATACACACAAGGTGCTCGGTCTGTGTTGGTCACCAGAGTCCGACGTGTTTAGCCTTAAGGTGAATCCGCCCGTAGAGAAATGCACAAAGCGCACAATACTGTCATGCGTTGCTAGATTATGGGACGTCATGGGTTTCGTAGCTCCGGTGGTATTATACGCTAAGCTTTTGATTAAACAACTTTGGTTATTTGAATGCGATTGGGATGACTCGCCGCCTGACAGCATTGTTCGATTGTGGCAGCGCTTTAGAGGGGAACTTCCTTTACTAAGAGAAATTAAAATACCGCGTCATATAAATGTCGATAGAAATAGCAGCATAACGGTCGTTGGATTTGCAGACGCCAGCGAGAAGGCTTACGGGGGCGTTGTATATTTCCATGTCCAGAATAATGGTAGAAATTCGATTAGCCTCATTAGTTCTAAGTCGAGAGTCTCCCCCCGTAAGGTTGTCTCTCTGGCGCGCTTAGAGCTTTGCGTAATATTAGTACTCACCAAGCTTATTACCACAGTTATCGGCGCATGTAGGGATATAGTTCACATAGAAAGGATATTTGCCTTTTCCGACTCCACCGTCGCCTTATGTTGGGTTCATTCTTCACCCCACCGTTGGGATACGTTTGTCGCGAACCGAGTGGCCAAGATCCAAGACGAGTTAGAAACGCGGAACTTCTATCACGTGTCCGGTAAGGAAAACCCTGCCGATTGTCTATCCCGGGGACTCACCCCGATGCATATAACGGACCACCCGCTTTGGTTCCATGGACCTTCTTGGGTTCACTTGGATCCCTCACAATGGCCAATAACCGATTTCGAACCTTCGTCAGTGTCACAACCGCCGGAAGAGAAGAGACACGCTCTAGTGGCGAACGTTTCGAGCGAGGTTTCTCCAATCATTGCTCTGGCGAACCGCTTGTCCTCTTGGTCGAAATTATTGCGTATCGTAATTTACGTTTGTCGATTCGCGAAGCTTTTACCGCGACGTTCGTATATCTTAGCATCCGATTACAACTATGCCGAGTCGCTAGTATTACGTGAACTTCAACGTGCGCACTTCTCCGAAGAAATTACAAGATTACAATCGAATAGAGCTTGTAGTCGCGCCTTTCAACGCCTTAAGCCATTTTTACAGGATGGGATTGTAAGGGTAGGTGGAAGCTTGTCCAACTCGCAATTGTGTTTCGACCAACGGCACCCTATAGTTTTACCGCGTAAAGACCATATCATGAACTTATTAGTCGATTATCATCATAAATTGAACTCGCACGCTGGCCCCGATTTATTGATGTCGATCTTGCGTCAGAATTATTGGATTCTTTCTGCACGTAGTTTAATACGCAATCGGGTGCACAGATGTATAGCTTGCTTTCGGGCACGCCCCAAGCCGTCATTTCCGGAAATGGCGGAACTTAGATCTTGCAGAGTGATACAATCAGCAAAGCCCTTCACGCACACCGGGTCTGATTTTGCTGGTCCGTTTAAGGTCACGCTCACTCGCGGGCGTGGTATAAGATCCACAAAGGCTTACGTCTGCATTTTCGTATGTCTAACTACTCGAGCAGTGCGTATAGAACTCGTGGGTGATCTAAGCACAGCAGGCTTTATGGGTGCCTTTAAAAGATTTCTATCCCGCAGAGGCCCTGTAAGTAAATTATATTCGGATAACGGTACGAACTACGTCGGTGCAAAACGTATTCTATCGGAACTACATGAGCTCTTAGCTAGCAAGTATTATAATTCGGAGTTCGCTCACATTCTAGCCGAGAACCGCATTGAGTAGTCTCTGAACGTCCCAGCCGCGAGTCATTTTGGGGGCAATTGGGAGACTAATATTAAAAGTCTAAAGAGCCACTTATACCGAGTAATAGGAGATCAAATTTTGTCCTTCGAAGAGCTAAGTACGGTGCTCGCTCAAATTGAATGCGTAATGAATAGCCGCCCACTTTGTCGGACGTTATCTAGTGACCCCTCGGAACCGCTGGCTCTAACTCCAGCACATTTTTTGAATTTAACGCCTCTAAGGTATCTGCCCGCCGCGGATATGGATGAGAACAGACTTAGCATTTCCGCACGCCACAAATTATTAGATCGGTTAGTGCAATCGTTTTGGAAACGATGGAGGATGGAATACTTGCATACTTTGCAGTCTCGGCAAAAATGGAACACAGCGACAGAGCCTTTAGCTGTAGGAACTGTAGTTGTGCTCACTAAGGAGAATACGCCGCCTCTCCACTGGCCGTTAGGAATCGTCGAGGAGGTCTTTCCCGGTTCCGACGGAGTAATTAGGATAGCTCGCGTTAAGACCACGGTTGGGTCTTACCTACGTCCCGTTGTCCGTTTGTGCCCCTTGACTCTTCCATAATTTAAATTAGATTTCTAGATTAAAATTGTAGTTGAATTTAGGTAATCTTAGCGTTAGTTAGTTATTTGTTAGTTGATCTTAGCTCTAGTTGTTTAGTTATTTTTTTTTGAAGGAAATCCTTCAAGGGCGGGGGAGATGGTTGCGCGGAAAACCATTCGCGTTTTTTATTTTGACGGTAGGAACTTGCTGAATCATTATTCCTTTCCAAAACGATATCATTCGTACCCTCCTATCGACACATCGGGGTGATGGGGTGGGAGGGGAAAGAAGACGATTCTAGAACATCGCGTAATCATCGAAGCCGAGGATATATAAGACACGCGCGACCGACGCGCGCTCTCTTCCTCCGCGCGCTCGTTTGGAAACACCTCACTAGTGGAAACCGCTTTGGCCTGGAAGCAGTCGAGCTCCAGGAACCCGCCTCACCTCGTGTGAGATATCGTCGCGCACCGCCTCTCTCCCGGAGGGTTCCAGAAGTCGCTATAGTGATCGACAGGATAGAAGAAACCCCGGTGAGTCAATATTCCTTAATTTACTGCCTGATTAATATTTTATAATTGTTTTAACCGTTCCAATTCTGTGTTCTCCTCATCAGGCAGGATTCCTTTCATCGATTTGGCAAGTAATAGTTTTAGTTTAGGGAAGAGCGAGTGCATTGTACCGCATGGTATAGTAGTCGCTTTACGTAAGCGTAGAAGCAATCGCAAATACAGTCCACTTTATTTAATATTTCGCGTAATAGGTTTGAGGTTTGACCGGGGAACTAGATTTTCGGCAGCCTTAAGCACGTGGCTCCACCAACTAGTTATAGGAACACTAGTTTTTCTCAAGCACTACAAGAATATTATGAATCTTCTGCAAGGTAAGGAACATAAATTTTTATAAGCGCGCTGACTCTGTTGCTATATTACTAACAGATACTTCATGCGAGAAACGACTTGAGACCACTTCTTCTACTTCTTTTATCATTTCTTCTATGCTTTTTCCACTTTTCTTACATGCATCATCAAGTGCTAATTTTAGCTTGCTTATATCATTCTCTTCTAGCATCTTATTCATTTCTTTTTTCGTTATCTCTAATTTTTTTAGTAAGATGTTCTCCATTATCGCTCTTTCATCACCTTTATACTGGCTACTTATTCTGCTATACGCAATGCAACACTTCTTTTCTCGTGGCAAGGCTGACAGATTTTGCAATATAGCATCTACTTGAACTTCTATAGGGTTAACTTTCCTAGCCTTTTCAGCAGCTTCTGACTTAAATTTCTCGACTTCTCCTATTATTATTTTGTTAGCTATTCTTTTAGCTCCATCCAAAGATGAATCCTTGAGAGAAAAATCTGTCTTGAGTAAATTTTGGTTTAAAAGCTCTAGAAAAACTTTTTCTTTTATATTTATTATTAACTTTATTATACGCTCATCTCCTAATTCGAAATTCCGATCAGCACAACATCTTTTGTTTGTTTTTGTGCAATATAAAAAGATAAGTGCCCATCCAATAATTCTACTAACTTTATAGAACTAATATCTTTCATTAACGCCAGCACAACTTGCTCACTGTATTGAGAAGTGAAACTCAATAATTTTCTCATTAAAGAAATACTTACTTATGAAATAAAATCACCAACTATCCCCTGATTTTCATTATCTTTATGGTTATTTTGAACTGTATGCCAAGCCTTAAGAATTTCTTTACTGTTTTTCTTGTTTTTTAACCTGTCTAACACAAACTCACGTGCTTTATTTTGTGCTTCTGAGAGCACAACATTTCCCTTGGGGGAGTAAATCTAATTTCTGGATCAGGATGAATACCCTCTAGCGTACTTAACATCCTGTAGACAATACCGGTAAAACAGGTGTTATGGATTCGCTTTTTTTTAGAGAAAGTTTGGCTATCAAGCAAATTTGTAATTAACGCGTCTTTTTTATTTTTTACAGCTTCTCTGTCTCCTTCATTGCAGGCTTTCAGAACTAAAAGTAAAATCTGTCCACCTGTAAAGCCAGAGCTATGCTTTTGATCATCTTTGCAAAAGTCATTTAAAAATGTAATCACTCTTCCTTTATTTTCATCACTTCATCTCTCATGTGAACTATCTATATGTCCAATGAATTGAATATATTCATCATTTTTTAATTACGTCTTCAGGTACTTGTTCACTATACTTATCTTTTAATTTATCGAAATTTTTAATGATATCATCATTTAATTGATGGGGCAGTAAATGTTCAAGATCAAGATCATTAACCATACCACGTAAGTTCTCTTTCATGCCTTCCCGAAAGAAATTCATGGAAGCTTTAAGCAGTGTAAATAGGTTAAAATCTTTTGGTCTCAGTTCACTCTGCAATAAAACCAATAGCATTGTAAGTGGTATAGTTCCCAGTAACGAAATTAGTAAGAAAGTGGAGGTAAAAGTGAGATATGTTATGACAGCAGAAAACAAGAGGAAGGCTGCTACCTTGATTGCATTGTTCTTAAAAAATATTTCCCAATACTCCTTTTTACTTATTTTTTGCTGTTTTGCCGCTTTTATTTCTTTGTAGATATAAAGAGTTTTAATTTCAGACCTGAAGAATATAGTACTAAGAAAAAAAAGAACAATAACGGGATTAGTGATAATGCTTAAAGAAACACAAGTTGCAAAATAACTAACAAACTTTAGCCTGCTAGATTCCTTTGAAGGAAATTGTAATTGAGAAATACCTATCATAGCTTACCTTCAACATCATTACGCTCTAGTAATAGCATAGTAATTTAAAACGTCAATGTTTAAGTATCTTATTATCCGCGCACTCATCGTATTCGATCTCGACTGTAGAGTGTGCTATCTCGACCCTATTTAGTAGTATTTTTTTTATCTCATACAAAATATCAGTGTGTTGTGCATCTTGCTTTACTTTGGCATGTATGGTAATTATAAAATAATTATCAGACAGTGACCATGCATGTATATGGTGCACACCTATCACTTCAGGTAATTCTGATTTGATTTTAATTTTTATTTCCTCAGTAGATATCCCTCCAGGTGTGCCTTCAAGAAGGATGTGGCAAGAATTCTTTAGAATTTTGTAGCCACTATTCAAAATGATTACACTGACAAATACCGATAAAATCGGACCCACCATTTGCCATCCAGTAAACATGATAATTATGGATGCAAGTATAGCAGCTACAGAACCTAAAATATCTCCTATAACGTGTAGTACAGCACTTTTTATGTTTATATTGCTCTAGCATTTACTATGTAATATAAAAAAGACTATAATATTGGAGATCAGTCCAAGTGTAGCAATGACTAACATTACTTTCCACTCAACATTCAACGGAAAAATAAATCTTTTTATTGACTCGATTTTCTATTGAATTATAATGATTACTGCGATGAAGAATAAAGTTAAACCATTCACAAATGCTGCAATTATCTGCAACCAATGATACCCGTATGATCTTTGCAAATCAGATTTCTTAGCTGAAAATTTGTGTGCTAACCAGCTTAAAACTAAGGCAAAGAGGTCAGTGAGCATATGCCCTGCATCTGATAGTAGAGCAAGCGAATGTGAAATTATTCCGCCTACCATTTCCATAAACATTGTTATTGCAACTATTATTATGGAACAGATTAAGCGCTTGGACTGTACTGCTGAGTGTTTGCCGTTATGCACTGCTGTCATATAAAATCTTTTTATGAACAAAAACGTGGGTAACACTGGGTTCGAACCAGCGACCGCTTGCACGTCAAGCAAGTGCTCTACCAACTGAGTTAATTACCCATCATGTTTTTAGTATAGTGCTTTGGTGGAATGAAAGACAATTTGCTTTTAAATTCTTACCCTATCCTAATGTAACGTTAGAATTTAGATTTTTTTGTGGTCAAGCCATATCTATATTGTTCATATTGAATTAATTACTTATATTTCTCCACTAAGATATAGATTATACCAATATGAAAATTCACACTTTTTTATTAGAGATCACCTTATACTTGAATAATTAATAAATTAGAGGTTAGAATTATGACAATCAATCAACAAATAAATAAAAATATAACTAAAGGAAAATACTTTAACAATAACGGCAAAGGGTTTAATTTGCCACATTTTGTAGAAGTTAAAGAATTAAATATTAAAGTAGAAGTTTATTCTCATAATTTAAGAGCAAGTAAAATTGCAATAATTGAAAGTGAGATAAAAGAAACAGCTACTAGTTTGATATATTCAAGTTAGAACACAGCAACTCAGAACAAACATTTAAAATTCATATGTTTGATGAAAAGGATGATTACACTCACCTTAGCGGAAGCGAGCATTTTTGTTCTTACCTTGGAGATGAAGGTAGTAAATGTTACTACAAAGGGGAAGCTGATGTTTTTGCTGAAATGTATGTCTATCAGCAAGGCGGCGTTCATAACCTTCAGCTGAATTTGCACATGGTTTAACTTACTTGGCTACAGGAGGTAAGCACCTACCTACAGTATTAATGGAAGGAATTGCAGATTACTTTGAGCATCATTCAGATCATAAATTCAATTCTCAAGGATCAAGTATCGACAAAATGAAGCTGCAAATTTGGATTTAGATAAAATTTTAAGTTTAGAATATTCAAAGGACAGCGAAGCAAATAGCCTGGTTTATAAAACAGGTCATGCTTTGATAATGTAAAGACATGAAAAAGATCCTAGTTTATTAAGAGACTAACTAGATGCTTTACGTCAAGGTAACTCAGATGAGTCAAAAAGTTTCTTGAAAGACATAAAAGGACATGATGCTGACTTCAAAAGTTGGCTTCCTGAGAATGATACAGAAACTGCTATGGAAGAAATTAATGCCCTACAAGTTACAAAAGGAGATTTTATAGCAAATGGTCAAGAACAGTTGGTGGAGAAATTAAAAACATATCCTACTATAAAGCAAATATAGAAAAAATAGATGGAGAAAAGGTTGGAAGTTTTTCTCCTGTAGAACATGTTGCATTTCATAATGTTGCTCGCGCTGTTAATAGGGCAACAAATGATAACCTCGATATATCAAAGGAATATCATTTCTTAAAGGCAGTAAAAACTGCTGATGGGCAGGTTAAGCTGACTTACAAAGTAATGAGTACCAAAACAGTCAAGAGTATAAAATGCAAGCTTTTAGGGCGCTATCAAAGTATGATACAGAAATTAAGAATCAGGTAGATGAATTTGATAATTTGAATAAAGAACGTGGTGAAATGTATCAAAAATATCATAAGGGAGAGATTACTATTGAAGAGTTACGTAATGAGGAAAATACAAAATACAGAACAGCATTTTTAAAGTTTGATCAACTAAAAAACAAAGCAGTTGATGAGATTGAAAATAATCCTCAGGCAGCAAAAATATTCCGCCGCGGGAGACGCCCCGGGCGTCGGGGGCTACGTCGTGGCCCCCGGCCACCGTAGGCGCGGGCCTGTGGACGGCGAGCAATGGGTAGCTCGTCGTCCGTCTAATGACAGGCCGTGTCGACGGCGCGTTTTGTTCCACGCGCGCCTCATAGAGCTGTCAGCAGCGTGAAGGGGCCCGCAAGGGCCGACGCCTGCCGGGGCTGCGGGCTGTTCGAAAGAGATACCGCGGCTCCGGAACGTAAGGGCACTGAAGGAACACGGATGGTTTTTAGTCAGTAAAAGTCTGACACTCCCTTACGCTCCACCCAGAGCGAAAGGGGTCATTAGATGATTTTCCATCCGCAAAAAAAAAAAAAAAAAAAAAAAAAAAAAAAGGCAGCAAAAATATTAGGAGAGCTGTTCAATATTGATTCAAACTTGATAAGAGGTACAAATCATATTGACCTACAAGAAGGTAAGATTTTCTCTATTAAAGCTCTTGTTCATGGAAATAAGGTTGCGCTGTCCATATATGATGGAAATACAAAGCTTGGAGAATTATTGAGCGAATCAGGATTTTTTAAGCAAGTTGAAGGCCAAACTAAAGAAACTTTTGTTTTTGAGGATATATTGCACAACTTAAATGTTCAATATGATGGTGGTACTTATATGGTGGTTACAAAAGAAAATGGTCATTATAAAGCTTCTCTGATAGATGGAAGAACAGTTGAACCTAATGAATACTTTGATGAGGCGCATTTACATGAAAATGAGTTGTTGCATCCTGGCACTGGACACATCCAAAAAGATTTAGATTCTCTGCTCCTTAGAGGTACCAAAATTTTGAATCATCAGGATTCAGAGCATGCACAATATTCTGATGAGCAAAAGGCAAACGGAGTGATCGTGGAAAAAGGAAAATTACTGGATAATAAGGGAACAGATAGGACAGACGACGATATATACGAAGCGGTTGTAAAGCAAGGAGAAAAGCGCTTACGTGAGTCCAAAAATATGGTTTTTTATATTACCGAGAAAGGTGATCTATTTATTCATGGCCATGGAGCAAATGTAAGGTTTCAACTACCACAAAGTATTACTCATCTAAAATTAGTGGAAAAAGACGGAGCATATAAGCTTGTTCCGGTGATGAAAAATGATGACGAACATCCAATAGGTATGCCAAATATACCAGATGAATATAGATATATAGATCCAATATTTGCACATGAATATGAGAAGAGAGATTATTCCCATAAACATGTAAATGTGGGCCTTATAAACTTAGAGAAATATGGTTATGGCAAACTTTTTGCTATAAAGTACGACCCAAATGATTACCACATACAAAGAAACTCTAGCGGTGAGATAGTTAGAATAAAAGATCAAGTATATTCCACTAAAGTAAAACTATTTGATGGTGATATTGATGAAGAAATCGGAATGTTATCTAATCATTTCCATAATGTGACGGCCCAAAAATAGTCTTAAAAGATATATATTAAGCAATTAAGTTAAATTAATAAACATAAAGTTAATATATTTCAGACATTATCCCAATAACAAAGTAAATTAAAGGCAAAATTATTGTTTTCGTAATAAATAAATTTATTTAAAAACTTGAAAAAATATTTAAAATAAGATAAATAACAGAAATACAAGTCAAAAAATATTATAAAATTAAGTTAAATAACGTTTATAAGATAATTAGAAAATTTGTTAAAAATTGTTTAAGTCATGGGAGGTGTTCGTGTATAAAAGAAAATTTTTCTTTCTAAGTTGTGGAAAGAGTTCACGTATAGATGAAATTTCTTAAGTTGTTGAAGGAGTCCATGTATTAAAGAAAATTTTCCTAAGTTATGGAAGGAGTTCACGTATAGACGTCTTGTATGGAGGAAGCTGCCGGAGGTACATACCTGCAGTTGTACATATATATGGGGTGGTCGGGAGCCCGACTGCCTGAAGTACTGTAGCACAATGACTAGTCCTATATTAGGGACTTATGATATTAAACTCAATGATACAAAAGCAATACTAAGGAAGGTCTCCATGATGAATTTGCATTACAATAGTAGGGTCGTGGGTTCGAACCCTATATATTAATGACTTATGAAAGTAAGGTCTATGATCCAAAAGCAATACTATAGAAGGTCTCTATGATTAATATGCATTACAATAGTAGGGTCGTGGGTTCGAATCCTATATATACATGACATGAAAGTAAGGTCTATGATACAAAAGCAATATTATAGGAGGTCTCCTTGATGCATAAGCATTGTATGGGGTGGTCGGGTGACTGACTGCTCCTAGTACTGTAGCAAAATGACTAGTCCTTATTAGGGACTTGAAAAGGAATATTATGGTGGCGTGTGTGCTGCTTCACGAGCAATTGGTCCGAGGTAAACTTGGACTCGCTAACCGATGTGTCCTAGACATATCATCTTAGTGCCGGTGGTAAGCGGGTTTGTTGTAGCAATACGGCTCTCCCGTGGACATCGCACACCCATACCGTTTGTGGGCGACGTCGTAGCGGATAGCGTTGTGTCGTCTATCTTTCGGATTGGGATGGTGAGTGTGTTTGGTAGCACTTTTAAGTGTAACAGGCATACTCAACTTCATGTCTTAGTGCATTAACGCTATGATACGTGGAGTTTTGTTCATTGGCGTCTTAGTAGCGTGCTACTATGATACGTTGGTGATATTTTTTATATAACAACAATAAAAACTTTGTTGCCAAAGTCGATAGGAGTCATGTGGGTGTGTTGTGAGGGGGGCGCCACCCGTATGATAGTTGCATTGATGCTTACTGCTACTTGCGGTATTGCGTCTTGTGATGGATCTGCGGGTGTGCTGCGCCTGATTCGATGCATTCCTGTGGTTCTGGTCGATGGAGGTATACAATTAACATCTTAGTGCCGGTGGTAAGCGGGTTTGTTGTAGCAATACGGCTTTCCTGTGGACATCGCACACCCATACCGTTTGTGGGCGATGTCGTTGCGCATAGCGATGTGTCGTCTATCTTTCGGATTGGGATGATGAGTGTGTTTGGTAGCACTTTTAAGTGTAACAGGCATACTCAACTTCATGTCTTAGTGCATTAGCGCTATGATACGTGGAGTTTTGTTCATTGACGTTTTAGTAGCGTGCTACTATGATACGTTGGTGATATTTTTTATATAACAATAAAAACTTTGTTACCAAAGTCGACAGGAGTCATGTGGGTGTGTTGTGAGGGGGCGCCACCCGTATGATAGTTGCATTGATGCTTACTGCTACTTGCGGTATTGCGTCTTGTGATGGATCTGCGGGTGTACTGCGCCTGATTCGATGCATTCCTGTGGTTCTGGTCGATGGAGGTATACAATTAACATCTTAGTGCCGGTGGTGAGCGGGTTTGTTGTAGTAATACGGCTTTCCTGTGGACATCGCACACCCATACCGTTTGTGGGCGATGTCGTTGCGCATAGCGATGTGTCGTCTATCTTTCGGATTGGGATGATGAGTGTGTTTGGTAGCACTTTTAAGTGTAACAGGCATACTCAACTTCATGTCTTAGTGCATTAGCGCTATGATACGTGGAGTTTTGTTCATTGGCGTTTTAGTAGCGTGCTACTATGATACGTTGCTGATATTTTTTATATAACAACAATAAAAACTTTGTTGCCAAAGTCGACAGGAGTCATGTGGGTGTGTTGTGAGGGGTCGCCACCCGTATGATAGTTGCATTGATGCTTACTGCTACTTGCGGTATTGCGTCTTGTGATGGATCTGCGGGTGTGCTGCGCCTGATTCGATGCATTCCTGTGGTTCTGGTCGATGGAGGTATACAATGAACATCTTAGTGCCGGTGGTGAGCGGGTTTGTTGTAGTAATACGGCTTTCCTGTGGACATCGCACACCCATACCGTTTGTGGGCGATGTCGTTGCGCATAGCGATGTGTCGTCTATCTTTCGGATTGGAATGATGAGTGTGTTTGGTAGCACTTTTAAGTGTAACAGGCATACTCAACTTCATGTCTTAGTGCATTATCGCTATGATACGGGGAGTTTTGTTCATTGACGTTTTAGTAGCGTGCTACTATGATAGGTTGCTAATATTTTTTATATAATAACAATAAAAACTTTGTTGCCAAAATCGATAGGAGTCATGTGGGTGTGTTGTGAGGGGGCGCCACCCGTATGATAGTTGCATTGATGCTTACTGCTACTTGCGGTATTGCGTCTTGTGATGGATCTGCGGGTGTGCTGCGCCTGATTCGACGCATTCCTGTGGTTCTGGTCGATGGAGGTATACAATTAACATCTTAGTGCCGGCGGTAAGCGGGTTTGTTGTAGCAATACGGCTTTCCTGTGGACATCGCACACCCATACCGTTTGTGGGCGATGTCGTTGCGCATAGCGATGTGTCGTCTATCTTTCGGATTGGGACGATGAGTGTGTTTGGTAGCACTTTTAAGTGTAACAGGCATACTCAACTTCATGTCTTAGTGCATTAGCGCTATGGTACGTGGAGTTTTGTTCATTGGCGTTTTAGTAGCGTGCTACTATGATACGTTGCTGATATTTTTTATATAACAACAATAAAAACTTTGTTGCCAAAGTCGATAGGGATCATGTGGGTGTGTTGTGAGGGGGGCGCCATCCGTATGATAGTTGCATTGATGCTAACTGCTACTTGCGGTATTGCGTCTTGTGATGGATCTGCGGGTGTGCTGCGCCTGATTCGACGCTCTCTTGTGGTTCTGGTCGATGGAGGTATACGGGTGGTGATGTCCGCTGGGATGTATGGGGGACCTTGGAATGGTGTAAGCCCGACGATAGTCGTATTGATGCTTGTTGCGTTCTGCAGCATTGCGTCTCTGCGATGGTTGTTTGGTGGGACGCTATTCTCAATGGCGCTCTCTGCGTCTTGGTTTGACTCACGCCTGAGTAGCTTTGCCCAAGTCGGGTCCCTTCATTACGGGGCTGCAGACTGTCTGCCCTCCACAATTTTTTATATAACAACATAATATTATATCTCTGTAACTTTCCCACCTTTGAATGATTGAAGGCAACTTGTTGGTGGGTGAGACAAACATGATCGAAAATGCATTTACTCAACGTCAGTGACACAAACCCTTTCTGATGGCGAATTATTACTCTTATCTTATAACTGCCTTTTGGCTATATCTGCCGTTGTATTGGTTGGTGGAGCATATGTGTCGACCTCATGCGGGTGGTAGCTGGCGGGAGGATCTGAGGAGACTCTCAAGGCTGCGGCCGAAAGCCGCACAACGTGGGACCCCATTCCCTTGAGGTGAGCGGTAGACTCATGACAGGCTCTGCGGCTAGTAGCCGTGCTGATCATGCAATTGGTGGTGATGCCATACACTTACATCACGTCTGCAGGAGCGGCGGTCTGGCAGGTGGTGGCGCTCACGGAGGGTTTACGGCCAGTGTGCCTATTTGCCTAAACCGTGTGACGTACATTCACTGTGGCTGGATTGGTTCGTATTCTGTTTGGCGTTTACACGCATTGACATGCGCGACTTCGGTCGATGTTTGTGCTTACGCACTAACAATGGGCCCAAGCCTCTTTTACTGGTTCGCCAGTTATTTTGCTGTGGACTACGGTCCAGTTCCCGAATTAGCGTTCCCTACGGGGGGAGTGCATCAAAATGGTTGGCACTCACCGTGCACGGCGTGTGTGGGGCCGTGTACCTCTCCTACATTTTTTTAAGGGATTAATGTAGGAGAGCGAAGCCCTTGTATCGGGTATTTTGTATAAATATATTTTGAGCCTTTTCCGAGCGGGAAGGGATAATTAATAATGTAAACCTGATGCAAGTGGAATAGGGACGTTTTATGTTCTTGATCTTTTTCGAGCCCTGTCTTCGTGAACGGGGTTCACTTAGCTTATAAGGCACTACCAACAGCTTTCAATTGCTCTAGTGAATATTCATTCTTCCAAAAGACACCTAAAAGAACTAAGTTACTAAACAAACACAACGTAAATAAGGGTCCTAACTAAGACGATCACGCCAAAATATTAAAACCGGCCTATTAATAAACCTTTTGAAAGGTCATTTAGAAAGATCAAAACATATTTTATTTATCCTGGTCACATATATATAATTTTTAATATAAAGGGGAATATAATACATTTAGTATTTTATATATTTATTACTATGAGAGGGGGGAAGCGTTACAATTTGGTGCCGTGACCAGGATTTATTTTAAAGAAGGTCGTCTATATAAGAATTATTAAGTAGGCATTATGCCTAAAATTTGTTGTCCGTGAAATGGAGAGGTGTCTTGGAGAATGGTGTTTGCTGGGGGTGGTTGAGAGTCTGGGGGTGGGGCTTTAATATTAATATTTTTGTTTGTTATAGATGGTGTGCGCATAGAAATCTAAGACAAAATAAACTAATAAGTGAAATAAGTGAAAAGTACTCAGTAACATTTGTATAAGTGAAAGCCATAACAGTGCTAAAATCTGGAAAAGT